GCGGCTAATAGAAAAACGATAGACTGATTAGAGGATTGCCTTTAGTTAAACAAGTTAAACAAGATTGTTATAATTAAATAATGCTATGTCATTAAATAATGCTATCACGGTCTTTAAATAATTTTTTCGATGCTAATTCGATAAACGATAAACCGATATGGCTAAAAATGTCCGATACCAAATCCACGTTTTCTCAATGCCAAATCTATGACGTGAATACTTCCGGCTGTGGTTTGCATTCGCGCAACACTAGACTAGTAAAATGCAACCGTTCGCTTTTCGTTTTCTCTTTCGATTACGTCGAACGTGCGCGCGATCTCGGTATCTTTAAATAAAACTCCGGAATCGGATAGCCGCCATTCGATGCTAAACGCGGTGGTGAACAAGAGCGCGAATGCGCGGAGCTAAGACGAGATAGAAAATAGAATTGACGATGGTTAGAACCGGCAATGGTGGACGAGGATGTACGGATGGGAAGGGAACACGACTCTGATTAGCATACAAACTACACGCGGCCGTGTCGGTTCTCCGCGTTCTGATTGTGTGCGCAGTGCTGTAGCTAAAGTTGTTGGCTCTCGTAGCGAGAAACTGGATTTCGCCGTTTCTTCCACCTCACAAAAGCAAAATATTATTATTATTATATATTATCTCTCATTATATGATAACGTTAATAAAATGTCGCGCGCCAAAGCAGACTTTTTGTCATATAATAAACACTTTTCTCAAAGCGAACAGCTTCTAGGAATATATAGTTTGCTTCCTTAGCACGTTGAATAATGAGCTTATTTATTTTTGCATTTTATTATATATCAGAAAAAGAGAGAGATTTAATGCAAAGATCCACGCTTATAACACATTAACTTAAAATAATTAAATATATATAATATATGTAACATTATTAAATATGATTAAATATAATAATAATAATTTGTAATAATATTAATTATTATTATAGATTTATAATAGTTAAATTTCCATTTATGTAGTTTTTTTTTTAATACTAAATTCGATTTTAAGTAAGGATTTTCTCCGTATATGAACGAAATTGCTGTCCGACTCTGAATTGGCGATCTTAAATTTAGATCGCTTTCACCTGGGTATAATGATTACGGCTCTGCCCCCCCGTCGGATCGAGCATCGCGGAAGATCCGCAATAATATGGAGAACCGACGATCACCGAGGATGGGAAGGTACTCCGAGAGCGTGCGAAGCGGCGCGGAGAAATGCCGAGAAAAGGAGGCCGATGCCACCCACAAAGTAACGAGCCGCGAGACGCCGCAACACTCGAGACGTCACGCTCGATAATGGACCACAGCCATTACGATAAACGCGAAAACAGAGTCACGATTGTCCCGAATGGCGGAGAAACTTCACCACAAGGTCTTTCCCAACGGGAACCACATATATCGGCAACTAAATATCAGTTCTATATTCTTAATAATTCGAGAAATTCATATATAAAATTCGAGGAATACGAATTTTTACAATTATTCGCTTCTTGCCTTTCAAATCATTCTACAAAGTCTTTGATCGATGTTTCATTTTCAATACATAGATATTTTATGAAATATCCTTTTTTTTAAAATGTAAGGTACTCAGACTCGACAGGTCTATACTTTGCAAATTAATCAAACGAGCATGTTCAGCTCTTATATACAGCGGTTCACGCTGCAAAGTGCCATTTCCTGAGTGATTTACAACCGAAGAGGGGGGGATATCTTGATATTCTCGACTATCAAATATCTAATTTTACCACGATCAGTCCTAGTACGCTCCACGGCGTACGAGTGTCTAACGAGATTGTACTCACGATACCACCCACAAAGAGCGAATATGGAGAACCGGTAACACTTGAGACACTAGCGGCGTGGTCGTCGATAATGGCCGGAGCGTTACGATAAAACGTGCGAAAACAGGGCCGCCGTTGTCGCCGACGAGTGCGCGCCTTCGAGGACCGCCATAAAACTGTGCTGTGTGAATGCGGCGCACTGTGCTGCTACCCGAAATTGTCCTCTCGACCGGGATGATTTCTGGCGACCGATCATCAGATAGGGCCACAAGAGGCGCGGATTCCGCTGCTCATTAGCGGAGAGGTTAATCGCGAGTTGACGGCCCGTCGAATGATCCGGGAAGATCGGATGACGCGGACGAAACCAGTTGGACGGCAGATACATTCGAGATTACAGGCGAAGCGTGTAAGGCAAATGTTAACCGATATGATTGAACGGACGCGCCTGTGTCTTCGTCCATGCGCGAGGAAATTCTCTCCACGTCGCTGACGCTATCTCCATTCCGAAAAATTCTTGCGCGCCGGTCTCTCGAAAATCTTCCTACCGGAGAATTGTTCACTATGTTTATCTTATCTCGTCTCTACTCGGGGAGATTAAATGAGGGATGACGTCTCTCGTATCGTTTAGTCCTTATTGGATGCGAAAGAAATTGAATGAAAAGGACGACAACCGGCTCGACGAGGAACTTATGATCGTAAAGCAAAAAAAAAAAAGAAAGAGAGAAAAAAAACTTGCGGTTGTTTCTCGAACCTTCGGATTCGTGGAAAAAAAAAAAAAAAAAAAAAGAAAAGGTTATATCGATCGAAAGCGCGCGCTTCGAATTGTCAACTTCTCCACGTGTCTCCTATTCGTCTTATCGAGCCGTTCCATTTTTTAGCCCGCGCGCGCGCGCGTCCATCAACGCGCGACAACGACGCGCAAACGGAGAGCTTTTCACCCGCGGCCGCGTCCGTAAATCTTCCAAGTAAGCCACCCTCCCCCGGATCGTCGGTAAATGTATTTTCCCATGTCCCGCGGATCCACGAAACTGTGCCGGCTTGCATGAGCCGCCGTGTCACAAATTACCGGCGCGCTGTTCCGCTGTCGGCGGTACGTAACAGCGCCTGGGTGTACGCCCATTTCTGGAATGGCCTATTTCTGCTTTAATTTAGGACTCGCCGGAATGCCAATTAGGCATGCTGCCGCACTGCCGCTCACCGCCGAGAGGCCAGGCAACGAAGCCAGGAGACGAAGGTCGAAACGGGGCTCATCTCCGAATTGACTTTCATATATTTTCAAAGTGTCACGTGTCGCGCCGGAAGAATAAGTGCTCCGGTTTTTAAAATTTTCATAAAAGCGAGCGACGGCGAAAGAGTCTCGCCGAGAAAAACGGCACGAAATGGATATATAGGTGCGAATCTCCGGAAGCTTCGCTAGACAGCGGTCGAAAAGTTTTCGGGGTACCGCTGTGCTCTAAATAAATTACCTACTGCGGCTGCTTGTAGATCAGCACGCGGTACGGCTGAGCAGCAAGAACCAACGTTGTCGGCGGCAGACTGTAGTGGTGAAACCAGACGGGGGAGGGAAGGGAGGGGAAAGAGGGGGGGGGAGGTGGAGGGAGGCTTTGTTTTTGGCTAATTTAGGGCCCATTAGTCCGACGACGTCGCCCTATTTCCTTCCTCCGCCGCTTGTATCTCAAGATGACACGGATAAAAATTCCAGGCGAAATTTCAAATGGAGAAATAACCGTGGCGTTTTACTTTATTATGCAAAGTCACCTCCCGCTAATTGTTTTATATAACGATATTACGCGCGGTCGTACCTCTCTCCCCCTCTTCTTTTTTTCGCGAGAGAGCGCGCAAGGTGGCATCCTCGTTAATTACGAAATCATCATCTAATCTCACCGCGACCTAGATCTCGGGTGCGCGATATGGGAAGCAGAGCCACAGGCTGTCGGAAACACGGTTAGGTATTAATTAAAGTGGCAGGCTTTCTCGCCGCGTCTTCGGGTGTTCCATTTTCGGGTAATTTAGGATACGCTCAAGAGCAACACTCCCATCTCGATCACTTCGCTCGCCATTAGAAAAGCGTGACGGCAAGGTTACATAATCGGATCGTAAAAATTCAATTGATCCCATAAATTCGCTATAACTATGTAAAATATTCTGTAAAATTTCTTTTTGAATTTTTTAAGCTCATTTAAGAGATGTACTCTACTTTTAAGAAACTTCACTTTATTATTTATTTATTTTATTCACGCTTAGGCTATAAATTTACTCCAATATTTCCGGTAATAATTGCAAAAATTGCAAAATTATACATAACGGCATTATTTTTAAAAGCGTTAAAAACGTTGTATTCTGAAAGATTCCGCAAGGAATTCTTTTCCCTTCGAGGATAGACTCATTCTGTCAAAAATAATATAATGCCATCTTAATTTATGGGGAAATATTTTCCTTTCGAGGATAGACTCATTCTGTCAAAAATAATATAATGCTGTTTTAATTTATTTCGCAATAAATTACTCGCAGCATTATGTTATTTTTGACAGAATGAGTCTATCCTCGAAGGGAAAGGAAACTTCGCAGAATCTTTTAGAATACCGATAGCTGACATTTTGACCATCGATTACGTATCCGTGAGGTAACATTTCTCCGGTAGGGACCCAAAGCTCCCCCTTGGTGCGGCTTACCGCGCCATAGATCATCGCTCGGTACGAGGAGGCAGAACAACCGAGGCGCTGTCGGGAACAAGCCGACGGATGCTCAAACGCTCGTTTCCTCATCCTCGCTCGTTGTTCTATTTTCGGTTAATTTTGGAGCAATCGGTAACGCTCTCTCCGTACGTTTCTCTTATCCCGCACGGCCTCGTCCTTATTCTCGCCCCATGCGGTCGCCCTTTATGTTTCCTCGGATCGCGTAAGAATCCAGGGGTGAATTTTCTGCTCTCAATTCCTTAAAATACGGTTACGGCCGGTTACGACCTCGGACCTTAGAAAACACGAGGCCTGCCTGCCTGCCTGCCTGCCTGCCTGCCTGCCTGCCTGCCACGACGTCCCGGCGCGAATGAAACTGGCGCTTTATTGTGAGAGACGACCGCCGACGGCTCGATGGCCTCGTAGATGCTTTTACGTGTCGCGTCATACTTGTTGGCGCGATATCGCGTGTCCGGTAAGAGAAAAAAAACGGAGAGAGAAAGACAGAGAAATCTTACACAGAGGAATCTACTTACTTCCAGAAAACGACGGACACGATCGCGGCCATCAGCAGGAGGACCACAGCGCAGGTGATGATTAGGGCAGTGCTTTGCAACGACGGGTTTGTATGGTAAGAGGCGTCTATCATCTGAAAAGAGAGAACGATCGTTATTCAAATAGTTATACGGATATCTACATTGCTATTTTTTTATAGAAAAAAAAATAAATAAAATATTATTATATAAATGTTATTATTATATAAGCTGTGTGTATACAGGAATGAAAATCGATTCCGCTTATTCCATGAAATCACGCAGCGTAACAACGCGAATATTCATTGGTTTCAATATCAAATCACAGCTTAATATTGAATTACTTATATAATTCGACACTCATTATTAAAATGAAATAATTTTATCCAGCAGATTTGTAGAATCCTGAGAACAGTTTTGGACCAAGATCTTAAAATTTTACCGCCGGCGATTCGCTGAATTAATCGTTCGCGAATCGATCGTCGATTCCGCGTTTGCAGAACGAATTTCGACGAAGTTCGAGGTTGCCAGAAAACCGGTTCGTGTCGGCGGTGACCAATAATAATGAGACCGCGGGTATAAATTTCTTCATTTTCTCGCAGAGGAGGACCGCAAAAAAATCGAGCATCGCGCGGTATGGAATTACGCGACACCGCCGTGTTATTATATGTCCCTGTTATTACACGTCGCGGGCGATAATACCGGAAGAGACGAATTAATCGCCATGGAAACAGCTTCATTCCGACAGACTTGATCGAGACAGCGCGCAGCTTTGTGCTTTTATCGTCGTCATGAAGACGCGCTTTCATCACCTCGAGCACGAGAAGAAACACTTGCACATTATAACCGCTGTTTACGGGACAACGAAATGCTACTTACATATTTTTGCTCTTATCTCTAGTTTATTTTCGTATATAATATTTATCATCAGTCTTTTTAGTTTTGGCATTTAATATTTCGCAGCGCGAAAAGATCATCGTTTAGCCATGACGGAAGCATTGAGCATTGTTTCTGTGTCATATTTATAACAAAAATGCGGCAATATTATTTTTAAGAAATGCTTACTAATTTGACGTCACGGTCTCTAGATTAAAACAATTGCTCAAGATAATTTGAATACACGGATTAATACAAGTTTATTTTATAATTATTAGTTATTTTATAATATTATTAGTTATTATTAGTTATTTTATAATATTTTATAATATAAGTTATTTTAGACTGTGGACGATAAACGAACTCGATAGAAACTTAAAGAGACGGTTTAATTAAGTCCTTATCAAATATTCAAGAATTAATTTCTCCCTCGGAGTTTCATAAAGGATTAATGATTTAAAAATTCATTCCTCTCGATATCTCAGCAAGAAGACTTCCGGATTTGATATCGTTTCCCTTCAGCCGCGCGGATAATCTCGTTCGAGGTAGTTACGACGACGAAGGTAGGGAGGGGGGGGGGGGGAGGAGAGACTGCGAAAGGTCGATTCGGGGATCAATCGTGAATCCTTCATATCGATAATGACGTAAAATACCATCGCGACCCTCATTTACTCCGGGAAGGTTTCGGGGATAAGGGAGAATGGGAGAGAATTTCGCGGCCGAAATTCCTCGTTTCTCGAACTGGAGTATATTCGATATCGGCGACAGCGGCGCGGCGGAACGTCGGAAATTCGTATCGGAATCTCCAAACCCCTCCGCCATTGTGGCAGGATTCTTCATAAGAGGCACGTAGGTACGCCGGGAAGTGCCCGGGCACACGTGCCGAGTATGGCGAAGGAAAGGAAAGGGAGTGAGTTGGGAAGGGCCTCCTCTCCTTTCCTCGGCGCGTTACGTGGGCCGCTTGCGAAAAAGGGAAAGTGATTTTCACGGAAGAGGGATGGGATTCTCGGAGCTGAAAGGTACTTCCGATCAGCCAGATCGGATCCACCGTTTCCATTCTCGCCCCCCTCGACGTATCGACCGAGGGGCATTGTGAGGGCGAAATTCTCATTTACCTGGGCGACATTCTAAAAGAGGCATGGCCGGGACGTCTGGTTGGTCGAAGGGTTCGTTAAATACGTATTGATAAGGCTGTCCTCTTTGCTACATAAAGAGGGACGCGGCACAATGCACGGCGCGGAATGCGATAGAAGATATCGAGCTACACGTTATTAGGAGCGTCATCAAGGCGATATTTATCAAGGCGAGCCACGTGGACGGAAACTTTCCTTTCGTCGCGCGAAGGGAAGCTCTCGTCCTTGAAAATATTCCCTTTGCCTGGAAGTTTCACGAAGTCCACAAAACTCATTCGTAATGTTGGAGTCCATCGGGACGATGAACATATTCAATACGGCCGAATGATGAATGAACGAGCCTGGCTAATGACCGTGATGAAAGAGAGCGCTTAATTATTTCTCATGGCCGAGAGCGAAAGTCGGGGTTAAGTTCGACCCCTCGCGTTCGGCGAAATTGGTGCATCGCGATACAAAGGGCTGGAGGATCGTCATAATTGGAAAATGGATAAAAAGAGAGAATCTTCGTTTGTCTCGGAGTCAGTATTTAATGATACGGAAGGATTTCATTAGAAGGATTTCAATTTTATTGTTATCGACAAGTACAC